AGCACTTGGTAGCACTTGTAGTCAATTTACACCTGAGTCGTTTGAGCTGATCCACTGTGAGGATGAAGGAATGCTCCTCTTTGCCCTATGGCATGCAAAACGGACTTAACGAGCTGATGCCCTTGCTTGGCCCTGAGGGCGTGCAACACCTTGTAGCGCAAGGCCACGAGACAATCGGTGCGCGTCTAGAGGCGTTTGCAAGTTACAAAAAAACGCTGCTTGAGCATCTGTAGCAGAAAATGTCCGCATCATTTGCGTCTATGACGCCACCGTCGGTGACAGATGATTTTCCCCGCTTTAAGCCGCTCATGGTGAACGTTAAGGTCTTTGGATAGAGAGAATCTTCTGCTCTGGGTGAGAGAGGTCAAGATGGCCATCGCATCCGCCATGCTCCAGACAGAGCAACAGCGCGTGGCGCTAGCCATCTCAAAGCTCGGTGGTTGAGAGCGAGAATGGGCACTGACGTGCGGCACTTCGGTCGAAGCTGTGTTTTTCTCCTGACAGTGACCGTCTTTTTGGAAAGCCTCCGCACTGGTGCGGCCAGAATGGAAGTCTTCCGTGCGCATCCGTCCTCGTTTGAAGAAACGGTGAATGTGGCATTGAATGCCGAATTCAATTTCAAGTCGGCACGGCACGACTTGGTTGGGATGCACACTCCAACAGCTCGTCGATTGGGCCTATGCCCATGGATTTCAGCTATGCTGAGGATGAGTGGGCACAGCTCCGAGCTGCCAGGCAGCACGCAAACACACGACGGTGGTTTGACTGTGGAGACATCCGTCACCTGCGGAACGGTTGCCCCCTGCGCAAGGCGCGTCAAGGTTCTTCGAGTCATCGCTCCAACGCCCCCAGTCTGGTTCGTTGCGGGGAAACGACACCACTCATTAGGCGCGGGGCGACCTACTAGGGAAGAACTGTTGAGCCTCAGGGAGGCATAGGTCAACAGGGCCCAGCCCCGGAGAGCTCCATGCTCTTGAACACGGAACGTGTATGCAAGCCGGGCTTGCTGGTCTTGAAGGCGACCAGAAAGGGCTTCGAGAAGCCATGAAAAATCCTCATCGCTTTCGGAGCGTCGGGCAATTATGCTCGACGCTTCACGATGGAGGGAAGTCAGCTGTATGCTGATGCGCCAATAGTGCGGTTGGGTGACATCGTCACTGTTTGCTTAGCGACGAAGACGCGTGTCACGGCCCCGAAGGTCTCTGTGGACCTGGGAGTCAAGTTCCTTGACTTTGATAGCGTGGATCGCTGTCTAGTTTTAGACTTGGATGCAAGGTATGTCCTCATCCTAGAAATGGCATGGTTGGAACACCATGAGCCATGGATTGATTGGAGGTCA